TTATCCCTGAATGTTCAAGCTCCTGAGATATGGGAAGAGCTTCTGACAATGAAAGTTGAGCCAGAAAGTCACTTCCATAGTCAGGAACCCAGACTGAAAAGCAGTAACCCACTGGCAAGGGAAATCTTCCGAAGACACTTTTGGCAGCTCTGATACCAGGAGACACCTGGACCAAGGGAGGCTCTAACCCAGCTTCAAGAACTTTGCTACCAGTAGTTGAGGTCACAAGTAAGCACAAAGGAGCAGATTTTGGATGTATAGTTCTGGAGAAGTTCCTCTCCATCCTACCCAAGGAGCTTCAGGGCTGGGTAAGGGAACATTGTCCAGAGAGTGGGGAAGAAGCTGTGATTTTGTTGGAGGACCTGAAGAGAGAGCTTGATGAACCACAACATGAGGTAGGAAGAGAGTTTTGTGAAGGAAAAGTGTCTTTGTGGAACAGCAAGAGTCCCTGTGTCGACTGTTCCTTGACTTTGGTAATAAAATAAGATCTTCTTTTCTGCTTCCTTTTTTTCTAGGAAGTGTTTCTTCAGTTCATTTCTTTAGAAATCAGATCTTGTCTCTCTGTCCCCAGATGGTAACTCACCACCAAGTAAAAGTCCTCTCTAAAGAAATAGTGCCTGTAGCAGAGCAGACATTACTGAGCCTTCAGTCCCAGCCTACAGAGTCCCAGATCACATGTGACCCCACTCAGGAGTCCCATGCTATTGGAGAGACAGGTGAGAGACAGAGTTTATCTATTGTTGAACATATCTCACCTGGTCAAGTAAACCAATAAATCACAGCTGGGGAAATGAGGCATCTAATGAGTCTTTACCAGATAACAGTAATGCTCAGTGCTTCTGAATGCCTAGTGTGCTCATCTTTGACTCATCTTATGCAAGCATCTTCCTCCTGAGTACCATCCTGAAGCTCTCTGGAATTCTGGCACATGATTATTAGAAAACTTTCAGAACTTGCTGTGGGGCATAGCTGTAAAGGATAGGTTTCAAGGTTTTACAGATATAGGTTCAGATCATGGCTTTGCCCTGTGGAAGTTGCTTATACTGGGCAGATTAGTTAACCACTTGGCCTTAGCTCTCTTATCTACAAAATGGAAGTAATAATAGTATTTTTTAGTCTATTCAGGCTTTCATAACAGAATGTCACAGACTGGTGACTTAAACAACAGAAATTTATTTTCTCACAATTCTGAAGGCTGGAAGTCTAAGATCAGTATATATCAGGTTTGGGTTTTGGGCATCTCTCTTCCTGGCTTGTACACAACGATCACCCTGTATCCTTATACAACCTCTCCTCTACATGTATGCAGAGAAAGAGAGATAGAGATCTGGTGTCTCTTCTCATGAGGACATTAGTCCCCACCCTATAACTTTATTTAACCTTAGTCACCTCCTCAATGGCCTTATCTCCAAATAATCGCATTGAGGGTTAGAACCTAAACATATGAATTGTGAGAGAACACAAGTTAGTCCATAACAATTGTGTACTTCAGAATATTATCGTAAGCATCAAATAAAAACAGTCTGTGAAAATCCCTTAGCATGCATTATGGTACAGACATGGCAGCTGTTCTTATAAGAACTCACCCACTAGTAGCATCTTTGGCACTTTGAGTTTGCACTTGGCCATAGAAAGATATGAGAAGTATGCTTAGTAGGTAAAAGACTGTATGAGAAGATCCAGTGGAATCAGACTTTGTGATTTCTTTTTTTTTTAATTTTTTGGTTGTTGATAGACCTTTATTTTATTTAGTTATATGCGGTGCTGAGAATAGAACCCAGTGCCTCATATATGCCAGGCAAGTGTGCTACTGCTGAGCCACAGCTTTGCATATAATCTTAGTGGTGGTAGTGGCCACCCTTGTGAACATAGTACTGGGCGCTTGGGGCTGAGTCAGCTGCCTTCCCATTCTAGCTCTCCCTGTAGGAACTGGCTTCAGCTTTCCTCTAGTTATCTACACGTAACATAAAAATCTCTTGCTGACTTTTTATTAGCCTTCTACCAATCAATCTATAGCAAGATTCTTGTTCTTTTCACAGTCACATTATTCCCATCTATATCAAAGCTATTTTCATTGCCTATGTCTAGCCAATATTTCATCTACCCTAGCAATCATATAGTTACTGTATATTTCTATTATATTGAACACATCTCTTGGCTTAAATTAAAATAGACTTGTTGAGTAAATTCCATGTACACTGCAGACCTTCCCTTGGCTCCCATAATCTTGTCAGATTATAATTCCTTCTGGTTTCATTTTCCTCCTTTATGAGCATCTTTCCTGCCAGTTCTTTTGTTTCTTTCCTCTTCTTTTCTCTATTTATTTATTTTTTAATTTTCTAGCCATCATTTCCTTTCTTCTACCTCCTGAACTGCCTCTAGAATCTTACTGAGAACCCTCTCCCAACCTTTCTAGGAAGCACAGCTCAGTAAATTCATCCACCTACACATACATCTGTTGAGGCATTCATTTGTTGAACTATTAAGTATTGACTCTGGCTATAGGAGAGTATCCAAAGGGCTTCTATAAATTAGAGTTCTCACTATAGAATATTAATTCAGCTTATTGAGTTTCTTTTTAGTTCATGCTGATTACAAAAAAATCAATATAGAAGCTTATATAATGAAAAAATGAAAGTTCTCTAAATCCTTGCACTTAGGAGTAACTAGTCTTGACAATTTGCTGTGTATTTTCCAGACTTTTTTCTATCTATATATAATATGTCTGGCTATACATCTGTCCTATCTTCCCCTGACCCAGTTCATTTATATATATAATTTTGGGGGGGTGGTGCTAAGAATTAAACCCAGGGCCTTGTACATGTGAGGTAAGCACTCTACCAACTGAGCTATATCCCCAGCCCCTTACCACCAATTTTTTTAAAGAGGTGGAATAGAGCAGCTCAGCAGCCTGAGGCAGGAGGATTGCAAGTTCAAAGCTAGCCTCAGCAACTTAGCAAGACCCTGTCTGGAAACAAAAAATAAAAATGGCTGGGGATGTGGCTTCGTGGTTAAGTGCCCCTGGATCCAATCCTTGGTACCAAAAAAAGAATAAAAATAAAGAGACAGGATAATAACATCAAGGGGGGTTGTGTTGAGTCAATTTGATAATACATATGAAAGTGTTTAATAAGCCATGAAGGCCGTATAAATAGTAATTATTAAAATGTGGAATGTATTCTGGTTTTTATATTCTCCCTAGTTCCTTGAACATTTCAGATGTAATTGTGAAGTTTGAACAAAAGGGAAGTACGAATCCTACTTATGGCACATCTGTTCTATGGAGACAAATTTCTGTTTTCCAAACCTGTTGCAATTCCCCAGCCAAAAGGAGGAGAAGAGCCATGGCCTAACAACAGAGGAGTCCTAAGAGGTACCTACTCAGGTATGTGAAGAACAATACAGTTAAATGTGGAAGAAAGAATCAGATATTTTGGTCAAAAGAGGAGGTCAGAGGCTGTTTTCTTTGGGTTTCATCTGGGTTGCAAGTTGGAAGTCCAAGATCACACAGCAGCTGCTTTCCAGTATTTAGACAATTTGGGTCTGTTTCTCACCATTTTTTCCTGATGCTTCTCTAAGCAAAGAGGTCATAATTTGGTTGTCTGGACACTGCCCAATATGGATAGTGGTGTAGCCTTTGCCTTAGGTGTCAACGTTGGGCCAATCAATTGAGATCATAAAATAGTTGAACTGGTTTCAATCCTTTCCCTTTTCTTCATTTATTCATTCAATAAACATTTTTGAGGAACTACTATGTGCCAGGCATTATTCTAAGGCAATAAAATATATCTTGCTCTCATAGAGATTATATTGTAATAATGGAGAGACAATGAACAACATAAAAATAAGGCCATCTAGTATGCTGGAAGGTAATAAGTGTTGTTGAATAAATAACAAATAGAACAAGATAAGGGAGGTTCAGAGTGCAGTGGGACTCGGCACAATGGCATGTACCTGTAGACCCAGCTACTACTCAAGCAGGAGGGTTACTTTAATTTAGGATTTTGAGACCAGGGTAGGCAACATAACAAGACCCCCATCTCAAATTTAAAAAAAAAGAGCAACACATTAAGCAAAGAGATTGCTTTATTAATTAGAAGAATTAAGATAGGCCTCATTAGAAGGTAAGCATTGAACAAACACTAGAAGGAAGTGAGGGAAGGCCTTGCTCTTTCCAGAAAAGGAGAGGTGCTAGAGCAGAAAGGACTTATGGGAATACAACTTGGATGGCTGTGGATTTGAAAGTCATGAAGTACTACTTGAAATACCTGGAATGGTAAAGCTTGATATTTGTTCCATAAATGAATGAGTCAATATATAAAGTAACTTTCCTTGGAAACTGTCTCTTTGAAGCTTCCTATCTCAAAAGGGAAAAAAACTCCTAAGAGTAAACTCCAGAAAAGCCACCCTGATCTTTATCTTCCCACATCCATGGAAGAAGCATAAAAATTTTCCCCAGGCTAAGTTCACATGGGGATAGACTGAGCCACATTTTGATAATGAAGGCAAACTTTCCTCGTTACCTATGAAAAGATATTAACACACGAGCTCTTCAACTTTTAAAATCTTCCATATGGTATGATGTATGTCTGTGGACATAGTGATCCTATCATAGATGCTGGATCAAGTGACATTTATTTAGGGAAATACTGTCCTAAGGTAGTAGAACCACATGGGGAAATGTTTCATGGTCAGACCAGGGAGATATCACACCAGGATCCTCGAAATGAAGAAGTTAGTGAACCTAATGGTGGGATAGAGAGGCAGTGGAAAAACTCCTTAGGAGATGGGCAACACAAATGTGATGTTTGTGGAAAGAACTTTGCTCAGAGTTCAGGTCTCATTTGACATCAAAGAACTCACACTGGTGAAAGGCCCCATGAATGTAATGAGTGTGGGAAGACCTTCAGTAGAAGTTCTGGCCTTTTTAATCACCAAGGAATCCATAATATATAGAAGCAGTACCACTGCAAAGAACATGGGAAGGCTTTCAGCCAGAGTTCGGGTTTTATCCAGCATCAGAGAATCCACAAGGGCAAAAAGCCCTATCAGTGCAGCCAGTGCAATAAGAGCTGCAGTTCTTGTTCATTTCTTATTGAGCATCAGAGAAGCCACACAGGGGAGTGACCTCACCAGTGCTTAAAATGTGGAAAAAGCTTTAACTGCCACTGCAATCTTATCCGCCATCAGAAGATCCATGTAGGGGCTGATCCTGTCTAGCCCTGCTTTAGTATGTTTTCTGGAGCACTGGCCAAGTTTTGTGAGGAAGATAAGATGAGAAAATGCCTCTTTCCTTCCTGTCTCCACTAAATATATTTGGAACAAATACTAACCAATGACCCAGTCACTTCCCAAGAGGAATGTGTGGGTTTTTGAAGCTGCTGCTTTCCATTTTGTTCATTTGCCCTTTTCCTGTTCTTACTACTTTGACCCTTTTTAAAATTATCTTTTAGATGGCTGCTAATATAATAAATGGCATTGCTTACATCAGCACACATAAAAGATCTGGTATTTGTGTTTAATTCCTAAAAATAACAGAACTCTGCTCATGTTTTATAATAGATGGGTCTTTGGTGTTCCCTGAGACCCATGCCTACATTATAAACTCCTTTCCACCCTACTGGTTCCTTCTGATTCTGCCTTAGAATAGTGACCAGCATTGGCTTGGTGCTTCAGTGTTTACAGAAGGCATCCCTTTACCTAACCACCATTGTTCCTTACAATAATCACACAGGGAAATAAGTTTTATCATTATCCCATTTTACAGATGAGGTATCGCAAATTCAGAAAGTCCCAAGCATCAGAACTAAACCTGAAGCCTGAACTTTTCAATAATCTCTTCCTTTTGGAATAATTTTAGACTTATAAAAAAAGATTAGAGTTTTCCTATACCTTTTACCAGGTTCTAATGTACACTTTTAATATCATGTCTCTTTGATAACCCTAGAATTTTAACCACAAATTCTAATCTCCTTAAAATTCGGATTTCCTTAGTCACCTGAAATTACCTTAGTATTTTTCTATCACATCTTCAGTGTTACAAAAAAATCACTTGTATTCTGATTACAAGGTCACACCAAAGACTTCTGAGTAGAAGGACACCTCAAGGAATTGAACACTGACTAGATAAGATGCTACACAAGCTACTGTTGGAAATCTCCTAATTCTTTCTCTTATGTTTGCTTAAGTCCAGAGAAAAACAATTCTTCCATGTATAGATCTTTAAAAAAAAATCAAAGAAGAGTTCGTAGCCTTGTGAGTTCTCAAATCTCTCAAAGGAAACTCTTTCTAGCGCAGTTTACTCAAGGGAAAGAAGAATCTCCTCCTCCTTGGGATGAAAACAAGTCTTAAGGCTTGAAGATATCAAAAGATTTCTTTGCTTTTTGTATTCCCTTTTATGATCTCTCTTCCATTTCTTTCCTTTAATTTATTTGACTTGATGTTTGGAGGTTTCCCAACATATAGGGGTAAAAGCAGGAAAATCCTGCAGTTTGCTCAGACAACTGTACAATTAGAGCTTTGCACTGTTTTTAATAATTCTTAAATATGCTGCACAAAGCATTCAACTCTTAATTTAAATTGGGGATAATATGAATGAAATATTTTATTGAAAATGTAAATAAAAGTGGAATAACATGTAGACCCCCATGCACATATTCACCCAGCTTCAACAGTTATCTACTTGTAGCCCATTTTGTTAAATTTATACCTTCTCCTCCTCACTTCCTCTGTATACTTTTAGAATAAACTTAAAATATAAACTTTAATTCAGGTAGAAATTATTAAACAGATCTGGTGACTGAGTTCCCTCTTGTGTGGGATTTTGTTGTTGTTGTTCTTTGATTGGTTGGTTGGTTAGTTGGTTTGGTTAGGTTTTTTGTTCATATTTTTGTTTGTTTTCAGTTTGGGATATTGGGGATTGAGCCCAGGGGTATTCTACCACACCCTTGGAACTACATTCTCAGCCCTTTATTTTTTATTTTGAGACAGGGTCTCACTAAATTGCCAAAAGCCAGCCTCCAACTTGCAATCCTCCTGCCTCATCCTCCCAAGTTGCTAGGATTACAGGTATACACCAACATACCCAGCCTGAATCCCCCCTTGATCCAAACCTCTATCTTTTTTTTAAATTTCTTCATAAGTGGCATAGGAAGTTAGATTTTAAGTCAAGGCCATTACTAACATTTCCCCATCACAAGGAAAATAAATAATCTAACACACAGCATACCAACTTCACAAAGTTTATTCTAAAAAATACAAGCTGGAACTGACATCCATTTTCCTCTTTCTGCAATTCTTTTGGATGTCAATTAGATTAATTATAATCCTTGATGTTATTTGAAATGCACTCATATCACTGGTATTTAAATGACATGCTTTTGATTATAACTTTGGTAACTTAGAGTTATTTTTAATAGTTAAATTAGCATTCACCTGTCATACAAAAGATTAGACCTTAAAAACTGCATATACAACTGAGGTGTGGCTCAGTGATAGAGTGCTTACCTAGCATGCACAAGAGACTGGGTTCAATCCACAGCACCCCAAAAAGAAACAAAATATTTTTTAAAAGAAAACTACCTATATATCCATTATCTGTTACCCCTTATTTCAGCTACCTGACTTCTTCCAATTGAAGAAACATCAACTACCTTGAATCCCAATTTTATTCACTTCTTGCTTTCTTTTGTTATATATAATTCTATTACATATGTATGCATTCCTAAGAAGTATCATTCTTATTCTTATTTATCTATTTTTGCAGTGCTAGAAGTTGAACCCAAGGCCTCATGCCTCGATAAGTGCCCTACTCCTGACCTATATCCCCAGCCCTTTATTTTAAGTGATTTTAGTATTCTTTTACAGAATTTTCAGTGAAGCATTGATGTATTTATTCCTTCAGAAATATAGCAGGACACATGCTATAAACCTGGAAACAATCCTGTTATTTTTTTTTTTAGAGAGTGAGAGAGGAGAGAGAGAGAGAGAGAGAGAGAGAGAGAGAGAGAGAGAAAGAGAGAGTGTTTTTTTAAAGAGAGAGTGAGAGAGGAGAGAGAGAGAGAGAGAGAATTTTTAATATTTATTTTTTAGTTCTTGGCAGACACAACATCTTTGTTGGTATGTGGTGCTGAGGATCGAACCCAGGCCGCATGCATGCTAGGCGAGCGCGCTACCGCTTGAGCCACAGCCCCAGCCCCAATCCTGTTATTATTGAAGGAAGGAGTCATGACAATAATATAATATTATCAAAACTACATTTGAAAACCAGAAGATATAATGAGAAGCTTGATATATTGAAAGGGTTAATAGTGATATATTTTCCATCTATTGGGAATATAAGGACTGATCATAATCTATGAACAAACATTCATTTATTTAGCAAATAATTTATTAAGTACCTATGCAGTAGGAAATATTTTCAGGACTTAAAATACATAAATGAACAAGACATCCAAATATCCTAGGCTCATCTTTCTAGCTGGGGGAGTCAGACAAATAATCAAGTAAATAAATAAAACATACAATATATTAGAAGAAGATAAAATGTTTTTTAAAAGACTCATCAGGCTCAGGAGAAGATCAGGAGTGCTAGTGCATAGAGGACAGTTTGAGTATTAAATAAGGAGATTGTAGTAGGCTTTATTGAAAAACGGCCTTTGAGGGGAGGAGACTTAAAAGAGGTAAGAAAGTTAGTCAAGTAGATTACTCTAGGAAGAGTAGTAGCTAGAGCAAAGGTCTTGAAAATATGTATGTTTGTTGTATTCAAAAAGTAATAAGGTCCAGCTACTTCAGAGGCTGAGGTAGGATAATCACAAATTCGAGGCCAACTTCATCAACATAGGGAGACCCAATCTCAAACTGAAATAAAAAGGAATGGGGATATAATTCAGTGGCAGAGTGCTTGCCTAATGTGTGTGAGGCCCTGAGTTAAATTCATGGTACCACATAAAGAAAAAAGAAGAAAGGAAGGAAGGAAGAAGGAAAGAGAAAACAAAAAGAAACAAGGAGGCCTGGGCCAGGCCTGAGAAAGGGGGTAAGAGATAGGAGATTAGGTGAAAGAGGTAATGGGAAGCCAGAATTTTGAAGAGATTTGTCCACCTCTGTAAAGACTTGGGCTGTTGATTTTGGTAAAAAATGGAAACCATTGTAGGGTTTTGAGTGAAAAAATGATGTGTGTGATACAACATAGATTTAAAAATAGATTTTAAATTTTCTCAATATGCTCTTGACTGACATATTGAGAAGAGAATAAGGGGAGCAAGAGTCCACTCTTGCAAACTTTTTGCAAGCTACCATACTTATAAATTTGAAAGACAGAGTGTCCTAGACCAGGATGGCAGCAGGAAGGTAATGAAAAATGATCAGTTTCTGAGTCAACTTGGAAAATATACCACAAATGAAAACTTAACATGTAAGAATAGAGGGTAGTTCTCAGGCACTTCAAGGGCAAAGCCAAAATCTTGTTCATCTTCTTTTTTATTCATCTTTAATTCCTTAGTGTTTGATCACAGATATGACATAAACCATCACATTTATTGAATCAATGGTGGGGACACAAAACTTATTTAGAAAAAAGGAAAAGATTGGTATTACTGGAAGCAAGAATGCCAGCACTTTGGATTCCAGCAGTAGGTGCTAAGAGACCTTGTTTTATTATAATAAGACAAAAGAATGAGTTGACTCAATTTTCAGATTCACTCATTTAATAAGAACTCTGCTAGAAGAAAATATAATGGTAAGCCTAATACATATCTCACATATCTCTTGAATATCTCACATGTATCTTGTATATCTCTCAGCCCCAAACCAGCTGTTCTATGTCCTGTGCTATATACAAATGGGCATGGAAAGGTACCAACTCCATCTCCCAGGCTCCCAATGTTGATGGGTAGAATTGATGAGACAGAAGGAGAAAATGGTTAAAGGTTTTAACACTTTAATTAATACATGAGAACTTGTTATTTGATGAATTAAGCAATGTGTTGTCTGTTTAAGAATTCACTCAGAGAAAATTTAAAATATGGCATATTGCTTGCATTTAATAAGTTACATTAGGAATGTTTTCCCAGACTCCTGAAAACCTTGAAGAACCCAAGAAATTGAAATTTTAAAAAGAGATTTGGAAAGGTGTTCTGAAGATTTTAGATAATGACCCAATTCCTAATTTTAAAAAATACACAATGCAGACAAGAATATATCACAATGTACATTCAATTATTAGTTGTGAAAGAGAACAAGGAGAACTTGCAATTTCAAATTCCAGAGTCTTAGATTGATGTTGCAAATAGAGAGGGATTGCTAATGCCATAAACCAAGTGAGAAATGGGGGTAGATAAAAATAGAAAACCATATATATATATAGTAAAGTAAAGTGAAACATTCACCAAAAAAAGTTAACAGGAAAGTGGTCATCCTGAAAATTTTCTATAGCAGCAACATTATTTGAAATGTAGAAAACACATACTAGACAAAACTGATGGAAAAACAGTTTCCTCATTTGAATCTGTAAGACTCAATTTTACTATCATGAAAAAAAACCAAAATGGACTAAAAAAAGTTTTTAGAGAAAAGCAGATAAGCTGAGTTTACTTAGTGGTTGAAGTTCTCATCATGGGTAATGAGGAAATAGTATCATACAGATGTAGGGCATCATTGGAAGATAAGATACTGTCAAAAAGCTACAGGATATTTTTCAAATATAGTCTATTATTAAACATTTATGATTCCAAAATATAGAGGTTTCAGCTAACAAGTGATTTCCAGTTATCTATCAATTATTAACATTTTGAGAGTACTTAGGTAACACTTATTTGTATAAGCAGACCCTCACAACTTTGTGAAATAAGTTGTCACTCTTACTATTCTTTCTCCCATCAAAGGAAGAGGCAGAAAAGGTCTTCTGCAGCATTACACACATCTTTGCCAAAATTAAGAACCAATCTAGGTGGACTCTTCATCAAAAGTTATTTTTGTTATAACCATTCATCCTACCTAAGTAGCAGAGGGGAGAAATAGAGGGTTTTTACCTGGCTTTCAGTTGGAGAAATAGAATTTGTGTATTTGGTTTTTTATGGTGCTGGAGATTGAACACAAGTCCTGGTGTGTGCTAATCAAGCACTCTACCACTGAGCTACATCCCAAGACCAGGAGAAATGAAATAGAATGCGAGCTAACCAATGCTAAAATTTCTAAAATTAACTTAAGAAAGCATGTAAAGTGGTATTGTTTTATACTTTATATGCTGCTTATTTTTTTTAGCTAAGCAGTTTACTAGGTCTCAATTTTCAATTTTATTTGAAGATGACTTTTTGCTCATCCTTTAAATAGTCTAGAGAAGGTGGATGCGGTGGTGCACACCTATAGTTCCAGTGACTGGGGAAGCTGAGGCAAAAGGATCACAACTTTGAGGCCAGCCTTGGCAATGTAGCAAGACCCTATATCAAAAAAAATAAATAAATAAAAAGGACTGGGAATGTAGCTCTGTGGTAGAGTACCCCTGGGTTTAATCCCCAGTATTTAAAAAAGGCCAGAAATATAATTCACTTATTTATAAAGACACATTTATCTTATACAAAAGTAGAGTATCTAAAAGACTATCAGCAAAATATTTTATTTTTTAATTTTTTATTTTTTGGAGTACTAGGGATTAAACACAGGGATGCTCTACCACTGAGCTATACCCCCAGCCCTTTTTGAAACAAAATCTCACTAAGTTGCTTAGGTCCTTGCTAAATTGCTAAGGCAACTTGTGATCCTATCACCTTAGCCTCCTGAGTCACTGAGAGGTGTGTACCAGCATGCCCCAAAGTAAAATAATTTCATTTTTAGGTAATACTTCTTATTTTTATAAGCAGACTTTCACAACTTTGTGAAATTTTATAATACTGTCAAATAGTTTCCCAGATAAGATCTTTTTTTTTTTTTTTAGAAAGAAAGACTGAGTTTCTTTCTTTTTTTTTTTTAAAGAGAGAGTGAGAGGGGGACAGAGAGAATTTTAATGTTTATTTATTTTTTCTTAGTTCTCGGCGGACACAACATCTTTGTTTGTATGTGGTGCTGAGGATCGAACCCGGGTCGCACGCACGCTAGGCGAGGGCGCTACCGCTTGAGCCACATCCCCAGCCCCCCAGATAAGATCTTGATCATAAAATGTCAGTGGTTTTCTAGCACTTCCTGAATGAAGTTTAAACTCTTTGCTCTGGCTCCCTTACCTAATTCGTCAAACTTGCCTTATTTACTGAATTTAACAAAGTCATGATCTTTTCAACTAAACATGTCATCCTATCCATATAATAATTAGTCATACCCCACAAGTAGTATTTCCTTTCTCTGAACTTCTATAGCCTTCAGCTTACCACTCACAAGATTATTTCTCAGTGTACTATCTTCTCTGTTACAAATCTTGTCGAACTTATCATAATAAAAACCTAAGTATATAGGTATGTACGTTTTATCCCTTCCACTGTCTAGCATAGTAGGTACTAAAAATACTTTTCTATGACATTCCTCTCCTCTACAGAGATTTTAGGGCCAGAAGAGTGAAAGAAGGTCCAGGGATCCTCTATTAATTTCAGAATTATATTTGTATTGTTTTCTGGTTTCTATAACATGCCTCTCTTCATGTAATTCCAGAAATAGTTAAATACCACTGAGCTTGATGTCACTCACCTGTAAGCCCAGATACTCAGGAGACTGAGGCAGAAGGATTGCAAGTTTGAGTCCAACCTGGGCAATTTAGCCAGATCTAGTCTCAAAACTAAATTAAAAAGGGACTGAGGGCATGGGTCAGTAGTAGATTTTCCTGGGTTAAATTCCTAGTACCAAACGAGAAAGAAAAAAAAAATACAGTTGCTAGCTATTATGGTTTGGATGTGAGGTGTTTCCCAAAACTCACATGTGTGACAGTACAAGGTTTGGAGGAGAAATGACCTAATCAGTGAATACCTGATGGGACTAACTGAGTGGTAACTGGAGGCAGGTGGGGTATGGCTGGAGGAAGTGGTTCATTGGGGGCATAGCTATGGGTATATGTTTTATATCTGGAGAGTAGAGTCTCTTTCTCTCTTTCTCTTTCTCTCTCTCTCTCTCTCTCTCTCTCTCTCTCTCTCTCTCTCTCTTATCATCATCATCATCATCATGTGAGCTGCTTCCCTCTGCCACACTCTTCCACCATGATGTTCTGCCTCACCTCCAATCCCAAGGAATGCATCCTACTGTCTATAGACTGAAATCTCTGAAACTGTGAGCCTCCAAATAAACTTTTCCTCCTCTACAATTTGTCTGGTCAGATCCTTTAATCATAGCAGTGAAAAAGCTGACTAAAACACTAGCCCATCATGAATTTGAATGTTAAAAGTCATTCTAAGATTAGCAAAAATTTAGAAAAGGTAAAGATTATAAGACAAAAGGAAATGGCCAGCTGGTAAGGTTAATTTAAAATGAAATTTTAAAAAGCTAGACAAGATTAAGTAGAGAAAGTCTACAGATTTGGAAACTAAAGAAGTTTAAACTGGACTAAAATTGGGGATAATAAAGGCAACGAAAGATAATAGAGGATTATTAAATGAAGAGCCCTTCTGTTTTGAAAGTACCTAATCAGCCTGCAGTACTTCAGAGCAGGAATCCAGAAATGGCACTTGAGAACAGACATGAACACTATGATGTTGGTTGAATAAAACATGATCAGGCAGTTATCAGAAGCAAAATCCACTTATGACATAGTCTGGCAAGGCTGGAGGCTAGTGATATACTTAAGCACCTAAGAAGATGATATCAGTCTTTGAAGAACAGAGGTGATTTGGGTGGAAAATAAGGGATATCACAAAACTCTTGTTACTCATGTTTAACTCACAGCTTTGAGTCTTGATTTCATATGTTGATTCTTTGGATATTGTAGAGTTCTTTTCTTCAGAAGCTCAAGATTCTCAATGTGCTTCTACCTRCAGTTGGGTTTCTATTCATATAACCTGCCACTAATCTAATTTTCCTATTCCCATCCCACAGGGAAGTTTTGAAGCCACGAATAATAATTATAAATATTTAACGAGATTGCTCTCACCTGGAGGAAGTTTAAGCTTACCTGTCATAAGCCTTTGTGCAGTTGACTTTAAGTAGGGGGAGAAGGATATACAGGGATCATAGAACTTGGTTAGGCCCAAGATATGTAAAAGGTGACAAAGAAGATGTTGAACATTAGAGAATTACATAAAAATTCATAATCATTTTACCTGACTTAATAAATTAATTTTTATTTACCTGAATGCAAAAGAGTAGCAAACCTGATTGCAATAATACAATTCTATGGATGAAGCCATCTCCCAATATCTTAATCATTAAGAAGTTGTTTAAAGCATTCTTACTATTAGTACTATCCTCATGAAGAAATATGGATTCCCCCACCCCAAATCTGGCACAAATACATAGTATTGACCCAGAATCTAGAATCTGAGAATCAGACACAAACACAAATGGCATTAGTTACAAATCTCTCAGAAATCTAGACACAGATTTCCAGAGCTATGCAGATCATTTCACAGGTACATCCAGTCAATATTTATTAGCACCTATATGCAAGGCACAATGAGGGGTAAAAGACCTCATGAACCTGACCTACTCATGAAGGATTCATTATTAGAAAATGAATGGTAAGAGCAGCAGCCCCCCAGATTAAGAATTATCCATCCAGGAGAAAACAAAAATACTGCTGTGGCATTTAGCTATTCTGGAAGGCCATTTAAGTCCAATAGGTAAGAATAAAACATTTTAAGTCAACCTTTTCCAGACAACATTCCTCAAAAAAGTTTGGTTCCAACCAATTGCTAGAATGTGGAAGATAATTCATCTCAGATTGTTTCCTAACACATGATGATGCACTGGTAAATAAAGCCCTGGCCTACAATTTCTGTAGTGCTCCAGGCTAGCTTCAGTTGAATTACAAATAAGCCCCAACTTTGGCATGTATAGTCAGTGAGACAGAATTTTTTTTCCCTACATGGCTCCTCTGATGTTGAACAAGGTATGAAGTTCGGGTGAAGCCTTTTCCACATGCATCACACTGATAGGGTTTCTCACCAGTATGGATTTTTTGATGTTCAATAAGGCTTCTATTCTGAGTAAAACTTCTTTCACACTCATTACATTTATAAGACACAGGAGTTCCAACATTTTCCCACTGGCTTTCTATCCTACCGTGACCTTCCCAGGCCTCTCCATGCTCAGGCTCCTGATTTTTATCAGCATGGATCCTCTGATGTCTCAGAAGATGTGAATTACGCCTAAAGGCTTTGCCACACATCTTGCATTGGTATGGCTTCTCTCCAGTGTGAATTTTGTGATGTTCAAGGAGGCTGCAGCTCTGGCTGAAGGTTTTCCCACAGTCATCACACTCATAGGGCTTCTCCCCAGTGTGAGTTCTCTGATGTTTAATAAGGTTTGAACTGTGACTGAAGACCTTGCCACATTCTTCACACTCATATGGCTTCTCACCAGTGTGAACTCTCTGATGAATGACAAGGGCAGAGCTCCCAATGAAGGTCTTCCCACAGTCTTCACACTCATAGGGTTTCTCTCCAGTATGGATTCTCCTGTGCTTGGTCAGGCCTGAACTCTGAGCAAAACTCTTTCCACATTCATGGCAAATGTGTCGCCTACTCCCTATGGCATTTTTCTGCTTTCTTTGCAACCCACCCTCATCCTGTTCACCAGCTTCTGCACCTGCAGAGATTTGTGCAATGTCCTCACCAAGATGGTACAATTTCTGCCCAGGCTTTTCTAGATGTTCCTTTGCTGGAGGCAAATCCTGAATTGTAGCCTGTATTTTACCACCTGAAACAACAAGCCAACAACTGTTAATTATAGGAGCAAAGCTCTGTGATGAAAAGTGATGAGGCAAGAATTACAGAATTATATGCTTGCCAAGGATGAGAATTTAAGTTCAAAAATAAGGGTGGGAATAATGGAGGAAAAGGAATGCTGGAAAGGAAAGAGACCTGAGAATGGAAATGGGGCCATTGAAAGAAGGGGACAACTGGAAACAAAAGAAGTGGAAGAAGAGTATCAAAAACAAAGTACTATATTGAGCATTTATGGAGTGGAGGCTTGAAAGAATAGTAAGGCAGAGTCATAGACCCAGGATTAGATACCGATAGGTCTGAGCAGAAGGCAATCGTAAACAGAGGAAGCAAAAGGATTTCTGAAACATTCTGTAACAAACAGCAAAAGTAGAAACTTAGAAATTGATCACTGATCAATGATACACGTTGTTATTTCTGCTCTCATTTCAGGCAGAAGTAGGATCCCCAAACAGAATAGGCATTGGTGCTGGGAGTTCTGAGTCAGAGCACCCACTGTGCCATCAATGAGCTGTGTGACCTCTGACAAGTCGGATAACCCTCTGTGTTTCTTCACCCTCACCTCTAAGAGAGTGTAGTCTGTAGTCAATGTCTGAGGTTACTACTAACTTTCACACTGTTTGACTCAATGGTCTGTTTCCTGAAGAGGCCCTTCAGGTTTTCTCCTCTGTCAGGGCTAGAAATTCAAAGGAAATCAACATTTACTGAGCACCTACTTGAGCCACAACTGTACCAAGGTTTGTATCTACTTCCTCTCATTTAAACTGACCAGAATACTGACATGATAGAGAAGAAGGCACGGATCAGAGGTTTAGGAGTTAATTATACATCTGACCATTAACAGGGGTTCAGAAATGGTGGTTCTGAAACCAAACATACTCCAAACACGTTCTAACAATCCGGTAGGTTCTAATACACAAAATGAAAGAAAAAAAGATACCTTAGTAAAAATTAGGGACTATTAATCTTACCCAGGGAGACTAGGTTTCCACAGTTTTCCTGCCTTTCATCTCTGTAGAGGTTCATTTGAGATGAATTCAGCTGTGTCCAACCAGGAGAGAAGGTCAGGGCCACATTTTCCATTTTCAGCATCCTCTAAAACAATAAATAATCCCACTTAGTACTTCTTATATATAATGATTATATGATTATAATTCTATAATCACTCCCAAAGCAGGATACTTGCAAAGAACAGACATAATTCTTTAAAAAGGGCCTACCTAACCCTATCTCAATAAAATCTTTATTTAAAAGAACTGTCAAAGGCAAGAAACAATTACATTTGATGTAAGTACTTTCATATAAATATCTAAACAGTCCAGAAAGTGAAAAGGTTTGGAAAACAAGGGGCAAAACAAAAGGAGTAGAACCATATCCAAACTCTCCAAAAGATGTGTGGTATGCTTTGGTAAAGGAGCAAGTAAGGGCTTATTTACATTAATGGTTTTTAAAATACAATGAAATCTAGATCTGAGGTAAGAAAAAAATACAAAAACTCTGCAAACACTGAGTACTTCAAGCAGGACATTAAAGACTGAGAAATGAAAATCTAGGTTTAGTAAATCTTCCTTCTGGGAGTGGTGACACACTCTGTAATCTCAGCTACTTAGGGGAAACTGAGGCAAGAGGATCACAAGTTCAGGGCCAGCTTCAGCAACTTCATGAGACCCTGTCTCAAAAAACAAAAAGGGCTGGGGATTATAGGTGTGGTAGAGCACCCTGGGATCAATCCCCAGTACCACATTAAAAATAGGGCTAGGGATATAGTTCAGTTCATAAAGTGCTTGCCTCACACACACAAAGCCCCAGGTTCAATCTCCAGCACCACAAAAATAAATAAATAAATAAACAAGCAAAAAACAAAAAAGTTGGGAATGTAGTTCAGTGGTAGAGTACTTGCCTAGTATGTGTAAGGCCCTTGATTTAATCCTCCTCACTGCCAAAACAAAACACCCCATAAAACAAACCACCATCACAATGAAATATTTAATTGTTGAAGAAAAAAATCCCACTGATAAAGGAGCTAACCAAAGAAAAGGGAAGCACAGAGAACCCTTTCCTGTAAGAAAACAGGAAAAGCCTCTTAAGTGGGCATCAAATATTAACCAATGATGAGATGAGAAAACTCAAATCCTATGTGGATTTAGAATGGGGTAGGGTAGAACTGGGGAAAGAGGAACCTAATAGGAAGCCTACCAATAGTAAAGTGTGTGGAGTATCAGAAAGGGGAGGGCTTTTAACTCACCTGGGACTGTGGAGTGGATCTGGCAGCTACTGGGGTATCTTCTCTGCAAATGATTCCCTGAGAAAGTCCAGGAACCTGGAGAACTAAGAAAGAAAGAAACTCTGGATAAGATATACCCTGGTGTTTAGCCTCCTTGCCTTATGGAATCTAAGATCAAAAACTGGGTTAGAACAGGGCAGGGTGGTGCATGTCTATAATCTCAGGGGCTCAAGAGGCTGAGGTAGGAGGATCATGAGTTAAAAGCCAGCCTCAGCAAAAGTGAGGTGCAAAGCAACTCAGTGAGATCCTGTCTCAAATACAAAATTGGGGGGCTGAGGCTGTGGCTCAGTGGAAGCACACTTGCCCAGCATGTGTGAGTCACTGGGTTCAATTCTCAGCACCACATAAAAATAAATAAAGGACTGTCAACAACTAAAATATATTTTTAAAAAATACAAAATAGGGCTAGGGCTATGGCTCAATGGTCAAGCGCCCCTGAGTTCAATCCCTAGTACTCCAAAATTTAAAAAAAAAAAAAAAACTGGGTTAGGAAATTGTTGCTGAGAAGTTTATACAGTGTATTCCTTTCCAAAGTGCAAAGGCCTAAGGAGTTCTGGTATGCTCCTGCAGACACACAAAAAACATGGGCAGAATTCTTGGGAGGAATGGTAAAGTGAATATAATATAAAACCAAAACAAAGCTTTTCATTTTTAGACCTTTTGGTCTTCAGTTTTGATGGGAAGAGAAAAGGGGTTTTATTTGTTTTTGTTTTTTGTTTTGGTTAAACTGTCTTTAGTGTGTATTAGAGTACTTTCCTCTTAGGTTCTGAAAAACTGAGAAAAATAAGGCTGATCCCATAAAGAATACAGAGAAGTAGAGAGGAACCTCACTTTCCCTATAAGAAATGAACACTGCAAGATTCAGAAAAGGAGTTGGTTTAGGCCAAGACTTCTGTTGGGAAATAAAGGCTATATGTTGAATGGTAAGTCTAAGTATTGTACATTCTGGGAACCTGCCTGAATGAACCCCCTAGAACACAAAGTTGCTTCCTGATAAATGATTTTCACCCTGTTTTCATTACAAATCTTATATTTAGAAGATGTATTCTCTTTAATTTGCAACAGTCCTACCATTTCTGGCTTTACAAATTTAGTTGGCTTTACAAATTCTACCTTATTTTCTTCATAGCACTTGTGAATATCTTAAATTATATTATTGATTCATTTTTATCTTCCCTACTAGAATATGAGCTCCACTAGAGCAAAAATTTGGTCTCACTGATGACTCTATTCCCAGTGCTAACAACACTGACTATTATAAAAAAGGTCTCCATAAATATATGTTAAATGAAAGGAGATCACTAAGTTTTTAAAAATAAATTCTTTCCTGGTGCCAAGTTTAATGAAGTCTTATTTAATATGTCTAGGTTTGGTTAGGAAAACTTTCTACTATTGTTTAAAATTCCTGTTTTAGTTGATCAGTAATCAGCATATAAAGTAAACATCAATAGTCAGTCATGGTGGCACACACCTGTAGTTACAGTAACTCAGGACAATGAGGCAGGAAGATCATAAGTTTGTGGCCAGCCTCAACAATTTAAGGAGACCCTCAGCAACTGTGACCCTACCTCAAAAAAAAAAAAAAAAAAGGACTAGGCTTGGTGGCTCACACCTGTAATCCCAGAAGCTTGGGAGTCTGAGGCAGGAGGATCTTGAGTTCAAAGCCAGCCTCAGCAAAAGCAATGTACTAAGCAATTCAGTGAGACTCTGTCTCTAAATTAAATACAAAATAGGGCTGGGTTTGTAGTTCAGTGGTCGAGTGCCCATGAGTTCAATCCCTGGTACTTCCCAAAATAAAATAAAATAAAAAGTAAAATGGACTGGGGATGTAGCTCAGTGGTAAAGCACCCCTGGGTTCAATCCCCAATACCAAAAAAAAAAGAGTAACTGTCAGTGGGTATAATGAACTGAATCAAGTCTTTAGAATTCATACAGCCCAAGGCTAGGAATGTAGGTCTGTGGTGGAGTATTTGCCTAGCATGTACCTAGCACTACAAAGTAAAAAACAAAAGTAGATTCATACAACCCAGCCCAGAAAATAATACTCACCTCTGTCTTGTAAGTGCTGGGATGCAGGAGATTCATGCTTGAGCAGAGCCTTCATTGGTTGGAATTGGTTATTTTGTGATTCTTGAACTGGTGTCAACAATGCCACCTTGCAACAGAGCAGTTCTTGCCCCTGGTGACCACCGGGAGGCTGAAAGTCATTCATCAAGCATTTCTATCATGCCTTCTACATGTTATTTCTACTTTCTAGGCACTAAGACCTTTATGAATATTAATCCACTTAATTCAGACAACCCTAAGAGCTAGAACTTTGTGACTACAAAATTGAGGTCCAGTTTAGGTAGCTCACCTAAGACACCCAATTTATAAACAGCAATGCTAATATAGGAGCTCAGGCAGAACAATTCAAGAGCCCATAATCTTAACCATTATTCTGTGCTCCCCCATTATATGCAATTGTGCTTTTATGAAACTGTT